GGCAGGGTGTTGCATTCCCAACTAACCGTTTTGGACTTTCTGCAGCATGTATTTCTGGGCTGTCATGCTAGGAGATTGTGGAATCTGAGTTGTCTCTATTAAAAGTGCAATGAATTGAGCAGTTAAGGCTCACCTGCCCAGGGCTTAGGACACCATCGTGTTTTTTTTTGTTTTGTTTTGCAGAAGCAGGGATTGAACTCAGTCCCTTGCGCTTGCTGCGGAAACTTATTCTATGAGCCATCTCCCCAGCCCCTCCATCGTGTTTTAAATGATTTTGAGCTCTGGACACATGGCAAGCAGTGAGTAAGGACAATGCTTTCACTAGGCAATAATGAGCAAGAGAAAATGGCAACCTGAACTGGAAATCTCTCCCATTTTTAACTCATGTGCATCCTAGTGTCAGTGATGACTGTGATAGTGGTGGTGACTCCTGCAGCTCACAGTGTCCCTCCGGTGCAGGGACACCAGAGGATTTAGAGAGGTCATGTCATACACTTCTTGTCTCCTGATGACTAATTCTTGGTTCATTTAAAAAGGATGCCTACTCTATCTTTTTAATACTCCAGTAATTTTTTTTTTGGGGGGGCAGTGGTGGCTTTATTGGCGAGGTGGCTACTTGAGGGGATGAAACGCGAAGAGTGAGTGGCACCAATGCCAGGCCAGCCATGCTTCACGGGCTTGTAGGTGATGGAGAACTCTCCCGGGTAGTGGCCAATCATCTCAGGCTTGGTCTCCACCTGGTTGAAAGTCTTGCCATTGTAGACACCCACCATGCTGCCCACCATCTCGGGCAGGATGATCATATCTTGAAGGCGGTCTTCACCACCTCGGGCTTCTCCGTGGGTAGTGCCTCCTTTTTGGCCTTCCGTAGACGCTTCAGTAGTGAATGCTGCTTCCGCTGAAGTCCACGGTTCAGCTGCCTCCTCTGCCGAGCACTGTAGAGCTGCATCAGCTGTTCGCAGGACATGTCCAGCAGCTGGTCGAGGTCCACGCTGCGGTAGATAAACTTGTGGAAGGTTCGCTGCTTCTTTTGCTCCACTTCCGCCATCTTGCCAGGTCTTCGGAAAGTATGCTCCAGTAATTTAAAAACCTCTCAGCTTCTCTAATTTCAGAGAGTTCTCTCCTGTTACATAAGATCTTCCCCTTCCATCTTAAAATAACTATAAAACAATATACAGAAACTTAGGGGAAGTATAATGAAATAAAACATGGTCACGAGCAGCATGGAAGTGACAATCAAGGGAAATCTGGGTTTCAGGATTCCGAATCTGAAAACAGTAGCATCAGCCTCCCCAGGCATAAACCTGATTCAGGTTGATTTTTTTCTTTTAAAATTCCTGGAAACTCGTGGGTGATGCTGAGTCACCTGGAGGGTGTGCCACAGACTCTCTGTGAATTTGGACCTTCAACTTCTTTCCTCTCAGTGGAGTTGGATGAGCTTTTGGTTTCCAATTCCGCCCGTGTTTGGCTCCTTCAAGAAAAGACGAAGATACGGAAGACAATGCTATCCTGCTGAGTAGCCACACTGTGCCAAGCCCTGAACATCACAGATTGGATATCACTTATGTATCCCCCAAATTATGAAAGGGTGGTGGTACTTCTCCGTTTTTGATACAGGTCTCACTACACAGCTCAGATTTATAGTGATCCTCCTGTCTCAGCCTTCCCAGTGCTGGAATTATAGGCATGTGCCACCATGCCTGCTTCCAAGGCTGGCACAGCATGCAGTATTAGGGATTGAACTCGAGTCTTTGCACTTGCCAGGCACTTAGACCACTGATCTATCTGCTTGGCCCCCTATTTTCTCCATTTTTAAAGGAAAATTCTGAGGGTCAACAAGTTGAAGGATTTCTCCAGAGTACCTGACTGATGGAATTGAACTTGATTATAAGCCTGGATGGATGTGCTCCATAGTCACTCTCATAAGGAAAAGAATACAGCATTGTGCCCACATTCCTCGTAGGCTCTGATGGAGATGGGCACAGCCCTTCCTGTCCACTCCTTTGTTCCCCACCTCTGCTAGTCTAGAGCACAGCTTCATATGCCGACGGTGTGACCTCTCTTTGCCCACACTGACAAAAAGTGACCCAAAGGGGAGAGAGAGGGGCTCATCTTACACATCACACATCATGTAGACTCTTCAGCTTTCATTCCAGCTCCAAGCCAGAACCTCAACAGGGTGCTGCTCTCCTGCTTCTCACTGGGTCTTCCTTCCATGAAACAAACACCAGTGTTTGCACACATACCCACAGCAAGACCACATTTCATGCTGCAGGTGGAGGTGAGTCAACCTGTCCCCTGACTTCAGTGTGAGGTGGCACATCGGTCTACCCTGCTACCCTGGAATCAGAGTCAGGACTGCCATGAGTGGTGACTCAAAGGTATCCAGTAACACACTTGAGGACACAGATGCAGCTGTGCCAGGCTGGGGAGAGGCCGGCACCTGTATTTGGCAGATGGTTTGTGTCCAGTAGCAACAAGACTATTGCAGGGAGACCCTAGGTCAAGTGGAAGAATTGTCATTTGGCTTTTAAAATTAAACAAATGATCTTTACACACTTTGACCCAAAATCCTTTTAAGAAGAGCAGCTCTCAGCCCACTACTATCTCCCCAAACCAGCTCAGGTGGACTGAAAAGAAATTCTGTATGGAAACAATTGAACAGGCTTGCTGATGTCATCACAAGTGGGTCTAGCATCGCATGATAGAGGGGTGGATGTCCTCAAAGGGTCTCTTTGACTCTCTTCAAAATGAAGATGTCTGAGTGTGGATTTATTACCTATACATTTGGATTTATTACCTATTCTTGAATCCCAAAGATCTGTCTTAATGCAGAATATACTCTTTGAAGGGTAAGGACATAGAGATGCATGGTATCTTTAAATAACAAGGGAAGGTTAAGAGAATTTGGGACACAAGTACATCACTGGGATAAAGATGCAGACGGGAAAAGTGCAGGCTGTGTGGAGGTCTGGTTTGCCTGGGAGAGAAGTATCCTGCCTCACTGTAGCAGGTAGTACACCTGCCCCACCATGTTGGTCAGCCTTGTGTTGATGCCAGCCCCCAATTCCTGCCACATCTCAGTTGATATCTAGTCTCCTGTTTCCTCTTCATCAGGGCAATTAATGAATAAGGAACCAGGTTGTATCTTGAAATATACAACAAAGCAGCTCACTTAATACAGCATGCTGAATCAGTCTTCTAGAAGTGGCCTTTTCTCTTTTGGGAGCCTGGAATAAGACACAGCTTGGCCAATGTCATGGGAGACATGACAGTCCAGGTTCTCCCCCACAGCCAGGAATGTGGCAGCAAGCTTTTGGGTGTGTGCAGGAGTGTACATAGAAACCGCCACACCCACACAGCACATGCTGTGGCAGGGAGGAGCTATGTGTCATCCCTACCCTAACTCTGATCATTTTCAGAAATCCTGAACTCAGCAGTGATGGATCTGTAAGGAAATGGCCCAGAAATGCTTCAAAGACATTGAGGGCATGTTTCCAACAACAGTTGCTTTATCGGCACCTTACATCTGGAAGTTCTAGATTCCAACCCAGTCAAAGCCATGAATAAGGTATATTTCCCAAGGGGAAGCAAGGGTCATGTCTAGCCATGTCTAGTCACCAAGCCTATACTCAGAAACCCACATTGCACACTCTCATGACCCTCTTCTGGTGTTTGCTCAAGTTTTCCAGTGTGGTCAGGCAAACTGGGCAGAGGTGTGTCCTGGTTGAGAATAAGTTATACATCCACTTTCTGAAGATAAATTTTTTAAAAATTATAATCTGGATATTATCCTGAGCATTTCTTTAATGCTTCAGAAGACACTTTAGGGTGTCAAAGGGCCTTAGAGGGCCGGCCAAATAGCTCAGAAGATTAAAGCACCTGCAAGCAGGCACAGGGGCCAGGGGTTCGATCCCCAGGTCTGCTGTGCCGTCCCCATCCCCAGGGCATGCTGAGATGGCAATTGAGACTGGGCAAGGTGCTACGTGCCTGTAATCCCAGCACTTAGGTGGCTGTAAACAGGAGGATCACTAAGTCCAATCTATGCAGTGAGACCCTATACATACACCCTATATACCCTGTCCTAAATACAAAAAAAAAAAAAAAAAAAAAAATTTAAAGGGCCTTAGGGCTGAGTCATGGACAGGGACCATGGACCTTTAAGGTCTGTGTGGATATGCCAGAGTTCTAGAGAAGGGAGGCAGGGCCAAGTGGGTTCCCATCTCTGCTGGTACTGAATGGCAGAGTAGCCTTGATGAGTAGCTTATCCTCCCCAGTAGCACTCGATGGGAGCTTTCCCAAGATTCCTCTGAGCTCCGATACTCTATGCACTGTGTTGGCTTTCTACCATGGGAACTGAGGACATTTGAAATCTACCCTCAGTCATACACACAAGGCCTGAAGCAGGAAGAACGGGAAGAACAGGCACGCCTGTTGTGGACTGCAGCACAGTTTCTCACTGAACTTATCAAGGCTGTGGACAAGGACGCCCTGGGCAGAAGTGGAGGTGAGTGTGGTTATTTCTCGTGCTTTCTCAGATCCACAGGAGTTGTTCTGCTATCAGCGATTGGAGCAGTTGTCGCAGGGCTGAGTGATACTGAGGAGGCAGTGAGTGAAAAGATAACAAGCCACCTCTCTTGGTTCTCAGCCTGGTCCAGCAGCCTGAACTGAGACAGCATCCAGCAAGATGGGAGTGAATCTCTGTCAATGGTAGGGAGCCTTCGTGCACAGAATGTAATTTTTAAAGTGACTGGCATATCCATTGTGTCACTTGACTTTCCTTCTCCAGCATGGCCACCTCCCCACACTCAGTTCTGGGGAAGGCTGAACTCTACCCATTGAAAAAAAAAAAAGCTTCTACAAGGGCAAAGCTTTGAGATCACAGAGATAATGCAGCAGAATAAGCACCTGCCTGGCAAATGCAGGGTCCTGAGTTCAACCCCTGGTACAAAAAAAAAAAAAAAAAAAAAAAAAAAAAAAGCAAAGCTTTGAGCAATGATTCTTGTGTTACATAAATAATGTCAGTGATATATACAACTCGTCACACACACAGACACACACACCCTCTTGTGTCAAGCTATGTCCATGCAGGCTCCTGACTCTCAATATGAACATATGCTTGGATTCAGTCTCTCCCTCTCTTCATTTCAAAGAGCAAAAGCATCTTTGAAAAGCCTGTCCAAGCCCGCCCTGAGCTCTGAGGTCACAAAGGCTCCTGAGTGGACCCCAAGTCCCTCCTGAGTCTTACTCTTTGGCAGAGCTACTCCTTCAGCAGTCCCAGCTTCTTCAGAGCCTGTCTTCTGTGTTCATCAGGGACGCCTTTTGGGGAAATCTTGACACTGACGCAGAGGGGCCGGGGAAGCTTGTCAGGGCTCTGTCCTTGGTAGGACAGACGCTTGGAGCTCTGGCCCTGCTCCAGGTCGGCCAACCGGCCTACCTGGATACCTGCAAAGTCCTTCCCAGTGCCCAGGGAGGCAGGGCGTGGCCGAGAGTTACGCAGCACACTGGGAGATGTGTGCTGCAAAACAGAGTCCTTTCCCAGAGAAGTGCTAGTTTTGGGGCTGGGGTCTTTCTCAGCTGAGAGGTAGCTGCTCAGCCCGACACCCGAACGCTCCAGAGTGTTGAACTTGAAGTTCATCTGTTTCAGGCCTGGGATGCTGCTCTCCTGGAGAGTCAGGCCTGAGTCCGGCTTTGGCTTAGTCAGGGGACTACTTGCCTTGGAGGTCTTGGGAATGGGAATTGGCATGGATTTGTGAGCTGTGGCCTGTCCTGGAGGGGCTTCCTGTCCACCAACGCAAGCCTTGCCTGGAGAGGATGCCGGGGCTGGGGCTGGAGCTGGAACCTTCACTGGGGAAGGTCCCCCCACTGGTGCCATCGTCGGGACTGGAGCCTTCCCTGCAGCAGGAAGAGCTGCTGAGGCTGGAGTCAGAGCCGCTGGCTGAGCTGGGGCTGGGACTGCAGCAGGGCCCTGATCTGCGGGCTTCTTGGGTCTGATGAAGCTGGCAGGGTGGCTTAGGGGGCGGCTGGGCTCCTCTTCATCCTGAGGTAGTCCCAGTTTCTTCAGTGCTTCTCTCCGTGCTTTCCTCTGCTCCTGCAGGGAGGAGGAGGTGTGGCCAGTGTCTCCAGCTTCAGTGTGGCGGGACAGCCAGCTCTGGGGCTCACTGTGGAAACTGCTTCGGCTGCTCTTCAGAACAATGTTAGGTGGCAGCTTCCTGGGCTTCGGGGCAGTGAGGGGAGCCAAATGAGCATTTGCATCATCCCCTGATGAGAGGGGAGTGTCTTTAGCTCTAGCATCTTGAGATGGCTGGGCAGGAGGGGGCTGTGGTTGTCCAGGGCTGTCTGGTGTGACTTTCTTGCTGGCCTTATTGGACATGGCCTCTGCTGTCTTTGGGGGTGTATGGCTCTGCTCTCCTGGCCCTTTAGGCAGACTGTCTTTCCCACCCTGCTCTGGCCAGCCGTCCTGGAAAGCCTTTGGTGGAGGGATGAGCACCGTGTCCAGGTGCAGGCTGGCCCTCCGGGGGCTGGCTGGTGCCCTGTGTGGCTCACTGCTCTGGCTGGCTGCGCCTTCCTTGGGCTTTGCTAGGTGCCCCTCAGAGACTCGCGCAGAGAAGTAGCTGTTGGTCTGGGTGGTGCCTTGCCTGAGGTTCTGGTTTCCACCAATGTGGATATTCCTTGGGAGACTATAGGAGCCAGACTTGCGGCCCAGGCCTTGGGCCTCGGGAGGGTAAGACGAGGATGCCTCGGTCACTGTCCTGGGCTCTGGTCTCTGCAGAGTAACAGTCTCCTCTGAGTTTCCTGTGTGGATAGGCAAAAAGAGCGTGTGGAGGTGAGAGCCCTGCTGCCAAGAGGGAGCAAATAGGCCCAGACCCTGGGCTCCAGCCAGCAACAGGCAGGCTTTGTTTTGTTTTGTTTGCTTTTAAAGGGGCAACACTCTTTTCTGAATGTCATCTAGACCAGTAGTGGCAAATCTATGTATGGCATGTTGTGATTGTGTTTTTCATTTAGGACAAAACATGTTAATGTATGAATTATTTTTTTCCACACTAAAACCTTAGTACTCAAGTTTAATTGTAGTGTTGGCATTTTGTAATAAATAAGTAGGTTCTGGGTTGCAATTTGAACACTCAATCTTTTTAAAATGTTCAACACCCTAATCTATACTAATAGACGAATAACAGCAGATTCCTCAAGACTGAGAATTATTTGTCCTGGTGGGTAGGCCTGATTGCTCTATATCCTTCATTTGGGCTCTCCAGGCCTTTTATGGATCTACCAGAGTTGGGGGAATTTGGGACAGTTCCCTCTAGTTATCTTAAGGCTCCCAGATACTTCAACTTTTACTTTCTTGAGATCTGGGCAGTTATGTAGTAGCACAGTGCCCTACACCAGTGAGTGACATAGCATCTTTCTTTCCAGTAAGCCCAAAAGGAGCTGTAGGTCCACAGGCCAGTGACTCAGTCCCAAGGGACAGTTTTGCACCATGTCACATTTCCTCCTCTATCTCCAGGGACAGTCTAATGTACTGTCAATAAATGCATTATCAAATTGCTAAATGAATGAATAAATGATTGTAGCTCCGATACCACTGGAACTGTTCTCAAAAATAGTCTTCCCTATACCCTGGGACAAATGTCCAGGTACTATGGTTCTTAGGGGGCCTAAATATCACTGGCTCTCCACCTTCACTAGCCAAGGCCTCACGGTGTCACCCACTGAAGTTGTGGAGGCCTTTCCTCTTATCTCCTTCATCCTCATCATCTGAGCCACACAGATTAGCTCTCCAGACTATCTTGGGCTCTCCAGGCCGCTCTGTCTGCTTCATAATCTGTAGAATCAGACCTCTTTAGAAGTTCTTCATGGGAGGGTAGCAACTGACCAAACCACTTTCTACTCTCAGGCCTCGGCTACTTTCAAGAAAGACATAGGAGCTGGTCTCTTGGTGGTCCATCCTTCCCTCCAGGAACGAGGCCAAGAGTGCGGTGAGGGTTATGGCTCTCATTTCTGCCTGTGACCCGGGGATCAGAGGGCAGGCAAGGTGGGAAGTGACCAGAAGGAAACACTGATTTCCTTGGTGGGGCTCCTGAGACTGTCTTACCATGGGGAGCCAGTGGGGTGATGGAGAGCACCCCGAAACCTTGAGGAGTTGTCGAGGGCTCAGACTTGTCAGTAGGCAGAACGCTGTCGGCCTCAGCATCCAATGAACCAATGGTCTCTTCTAGGAAAAGCAGACACTCCTTCTCCTCAGCAGACAGGAAGTCATAGCTGTGATCACTCTGCGGGGAGAAGGAGTGGTGAGAGAGCTCTCTCTGGAGAAACTGGTGCCCCTCCCCACCAGAACCAACCTCCTGTGAGGAAAGGAAGTGGAAGAGCTGGAAACCTTGCCTTGGTTCTGCACTTGCAAAGCTGTTTCTTCCTGAAACAAGGTACCACGTATGGGAGAGCTATTCAGGCTGGGGGCTTGCCAGTACCCACCTCCAGGGTGGAACAGGCAGGCGGCAGGAGCCTTTCTCCTGCTCAGTTCTGGGTAGGAAGCTTAAGAACACACAGATCAGAAGACCCCAGTTCTAATTCCAGTTCTACTTGACCCTTGTCAAGTATTCCACTATGTGGGTCTTCCACTTCACTGAGTTATGTGGGCAATACAGTGATTTGACCCGAAACTTGAATGGTATGACTTTTAACTTTTCAAAGTACTCTGCATACTTGTTCTGGTATGTCAAGGACAGTATGAGGACAAACAGGTAATACAGCCAACTACTGGCTGCCAGGCCAATGAGAATAGCAGCATGACTAGTCACAGATAAACTTACTAAATAATCTACATTTTGAAACACATTCCATGCAAGATTTTCTTGTGTATTTACTTACTTGATGGCATTTGGCTCTGGCTAACATTCAAGTAAGTGTGTATTTCTTAAGCAAATATTAACTTCAGGGAGGAGAGTGGAGAAACTGGTTGGTTTGGTTGGTGGGGAAAGCAACCTAGTACTAAATATGAGGCAGACAGTAAAGCAGGTCATTTTCATTATGAGAAGCACAAAGGGATAGTTGGAAGAAGATATTGTGGCTACCTCTGATAGTTTTGCCCATGCTCTACCAGGCCACAAGGATGGAGCCTGAGGACAAGACCACAAGGACAAGCAAGAATACCAGAAACCTAGCCTGAGTCTTCTGATGTTTGCAACACTTTAGATTTATATATTCTCCAGATCCATTTGGATGACAAGGGAAAAATTCGAGATGGCCCCAATTATATCCCTGGGGGAGGGAGGGTGGCTGTTAAACAACACTTTTTCAGTTGCCTCTGCCCTTAAAAGTTACCTGGCCAATAAGTGACTGGGACCTACATGGAAAACCCCTTGAAATTACTAGAACAACAATCTTTATTGCCTTCATCCTGTTGGAACAGACTGGCCGAGGATAAGTTTATTCTAATTTCTCCTTTATGGATCATTCACTTTGAAAGCCTTTAATCTCTGTCACATTCTGTGTCCAGTGACACAGAGCATTCACACTGGTCTCCGCCTGTAGAAACAGTGCGCTGTCTCTGTGTTCCCATCCTGTAGGGTCAAGAGGCGATTCTGCACAGACCATTTGCACGTTTACTTTGTCTTTCTTTCTTTCTTTCTTTCTTTCTTTCTTTCTTTCTTTCTTATTTATTTATTTAGGCAGAACTGGGGATTGAACTCAGGCCTTTGCTCTTGCCAGGGAAGCGCTTATTCTACTGAGCCATCTCCCCAGCCCCCTACTTTGTGTTTCTGTTGTTTTTTCGCTTCCATTTTTATAATCCATTGAATATATTAAGCATCTTGGACATTCAGTAGCAAACCTCACATACATTATATTTTCAAATCTTTATATATATAAAACAATGAAATCTAAGTTCTCCAGGGTTATTTATGTATGTCACAAGGATGAACAATGCAGAAATGTTTACTGATGGTGGATAGAGGACAGATTTAGTCTTTTATATCGGTCTTAGCAATAAGTAAGTCTTAAATTTGTGCCCAGAAAAGTTAGTTAATTCCATACCATTCACAAATAAGCAACTTAAGAGTTTCTCACACTCTGCTCTTAGATGGGCTGTTTCTTTTCTATATAACAGAAAGTGCTCAGTGCTTTATATCCCATGCATATTTTCCCTAAAACCACCCTATGAATTGGGTTAGTATCATTCCCATTTTAAACCCCAGCCAATTGATGCCTAGACAAATTAAGTAATTTGCCCAAGGTCATATGGCTTATAATAGAATACCCAGATCTGTTGGCTCCAGAACTTAGGCTCCTAATTACTTTACTTCCTTTGATTTTTGGAAAAGACTAAAAAGTAATGCTACTCACTGTGGAGAACTTCAAGAGTCCAAGCTACAACAGTGTTCTAGTTTCCACCATGACCTCAAATTGCAGGCCTATTCTTTCTCCTCAACTCAATCCCTCACCCTATGGAAAGTCCGAGGAAAAAGTCTTATTGGTCTGGTTTTCCTCTCTAAGATTGTCTTGCCCTATTCTTCATAAGTTGGGGGTGACTCAGAGGTAGGGAGCACCCACTAATACTGTGCTTCACTGACAGATGAAGGAGATGGAAGAGAAGGTGCAGAGAGCCATGGCTGGGAGCAGACAGGGCGCAGCAGGTGTGCAGAGTGGCCAGCTGCAGGAGGAGAGTACATACAGATCCAGAGTGGACGGAGGCGGTGCTCATCATGCTGTCGTGGCTGCCGACGCGGGTCCCAGGTTCCGAGCCAGGCCCTTCTGGCCACAGCTCTCTCTCAGGCATCGCCTGAAGCAAGGAGCAGGGGTGGCGAAAGGGGCTCCCAGAGGGGAAGCGAAGGGAAGCGAAGAGTGTCCCAAGCTGGGCCTGAAAAGAGAAGAATCAAAGCCATGTGTGAGGCAGGCTTGTTCAAGGCTCGGCCCAGGCCCTGGGGCAGCACGGCGGCAAAGGCACCAAGCAAGCAGAGAGCTGGAAGGAGACCATGATCAGCCATGACCCGAACACCACCTCAGCCTGTAGGAAGGACACAGGCTGGCTCAAACACATTCGAAAGACAGAGTCCTAGGTGGCGCAGAGGCAGTCCAATGGGAAAGGCACTTCTGGGGCTTTTTTGGTTATTCTTTTCTTTGAACCAGAAAGCTTATACTTTTCTTAGTATAAATAATAAATATTGCTTGGGATCTGGAGGTATTCGGGTCTAGATTCAAAATGGCTGATCCACTTAGTTATTTGATTAGAACAAAGCCTGCTTTTCCTCATTAAATAGGGTTGATGTAAGGATTAAATAGTTTAATTGGTAGTAAATACTCATGCTTAAGGAGTAGATAAAATTATTCTTGTAATAAGAAAAAATAAAATCCATGTAGGACCAAACTAACTCCCTAAAGCAAGGGAAACAGGAGTTTAGAAATAAAGGGCTCTAGTGAAATGAGAGACTACAGGCTTGGGGAAAGGACAGGCCCCTTAATGGCAGCTCCTAGTGGCACCACATGAGACTGTTATACAGTGGAGTAAGACCATCATACTTAACAGGAAGCACTTCGCACTGTTTAAGACCCAATAATTATCAGCTGCTATCATAGTGTATTCAACCCATCACAACCACCACTACAATGGTCCTCACCGGCTCCCTAGCCTGTGAGAGAAACGTGGTACCTACAGAGGCTGGCATGAACTCAGTTTCCCTCCTTCCTGTGCATCATCTCTGCTGCTGTTCATGTTCCCAGCAAAGCTCCCTAACCCGTGTCAGATGAACAACCAAAATGTTCTATGCAGCTTCTTTCCAACTTCAGATCTTTGGGGAAAAATTTCAAATTCATTTTACCAAAGGGAGCTGTGGTTGCTTTCCCACTGAAGAAGTCCTAAGGACTGCCATGTCTCCTTGTGGGAAAGTTTCCATCACAGCTGAGCAGACCAAGGATGCCTCTATTTATTTATTTATTTATTTATTTATTTATTTATTTTTATTGAGAAATAATTATGAATGAGACAGTTTCACAGCTGATTAATAGGACAGTTTTGAGAGTCAATACACGGTACATTGTCATCTTCTTAGTGGTTATCCATAGTACAAGAAGCAGACAGGATATCCTGTCCAAACACTGTTAGTACACCTCTTTCTTCTCATTGAATTAAGCGAAAGTAGCTATAAATTTATCCTAACTATTTTGTATATATAAATACAAAATGATCTTTCCTTTGTATCCTTTTTTCTTTTTTGTCCTCTCAGAGGTGAATATTCTATTGGCATCTAAATACTATAGGTATTTGAATTCAACTAAACAATCTAACACTGTCTAGCAGTCTATAATATTAGTGGGTTATCCTCAGAAGTTATTGACTTGAGCCTTTTACAGCTCGCCGAAGGGCGCCTCTTGTATGCAAAATGAAATTCTGAAGAAATTATGATCCAAACACAGTTTCAAGGTGAAAGAAAAGATTGGGGGAGGGTTAGAATACAGTTTATCTAATTCTGAATCGATATTTTTCCCATCACACCATGCCATAGTTTAACCTATCAGGTACTCGCCCAATATAAGGTAAAATGTCTAACTGACATCAGGGGACGTGGGTTTTGGATACAATGACAGATATCCCTTTGGCCTCTGCCAGCACATACAATATCAGGTTGGGGCTAGGTTGGGTGAGTCAGCCTTGTAATCCTATAAGCTGGCAAATATATGGCTTCATAGAGCTCCTCTTCAGGTTGGGTGGAGCCTCCTAAATAGGGCAGAGAGAGAAAGGTAGGACATGGGGGAAAGAAAAGGAAATGTCCCAAATGAGCCAGACATGTACGATTCTTATAAGAGCTCAGTACCTCTCAAGAGGTAAGAAGGGGACCAGAGGAACAGAGATACCAAAGAAGCCCAATGAGAAATCAACACTGGTGAGATAGGTTGCAGGACTTCTTCATGAGGTCAGTGCTTCAGTATGGAGAACATTGAAGAAAGGATCAAGTGGGCGAGGTCTGGTCATCTCAGTTATGTGCTCCACTAAGGACGATCCAGTCAAGAGAACACCAAGCCATTCCTTATGTTCTGTAGGTCTGAGACTATCACAGCCAAGGAGACCTATTTCTCCTAAGGTAAGGCACACAGAAGGTCCTAAGAAAGTGTGATGCTGGCTGAATAACCTCATCTGTTCTAGGGTCTGTTGGGTTAAGCTGATGGAAGGCTTCTTCTTGTCTTCATACCTGTTGATTTTCCTGAGACTATATGGTTGAGTAGAATCAGGGTGATGCTTTCAGATGAATTAATAATTATAGGCACCTAACACTACCAGGGGTATGAATCCATGTAAGACAAAGGCATTGTTTTTCAGAAGCTGGTATGGGTACAAGGGTCTAGTTTTTGGCTCCATTTTTTTTGTGTATGTGCAATTGGGATACTAACTGTTTCAGGTGACTTGCTGTAAGAAATATAATATTCTTTCTGAATAGCTGAACAGATGCTGCCTCTTACTTTCAGAGGCAAAGTTAGCTTCCAAGTATGCCTTGTGCTATCTGGTGGTTGTGAGCTTCTCCTTCTCCCAGAGAAGCCTGCCACCCTCTGACCCCAGACCCTGAAGCAGCATCACACGCACAGACAATAGGAGCGCCCCACAGGGACAGAGCGTGCTGCTGCTTGCAATGTGTTCTCGTGTACCTGACTGGATCTTCAGGGTCACATGGCAACAGGCTGAGAGTGACCTCTTCCTAGGGGAAGTTGAGAATACCCCTACCTGTATGGAAAGGGCATCCGTGCATCTGGGCCCCTCAGGGGGCACTTCAGTGACTGCCACATGCCAGGTGGTACACACGTAATGAAGGGTCATTGGCTACCCCTGGCTAAATAAGAAAATCCTCAAGGTCACCCTTCGATCTTCACCTCATACCTGAAACCGTGCATTGTCCGTAAGGCCTGTGCATTGTCCTTCTAGACAGTTTATTGCCCAACACTGTATACATGTTTTCAGAGTAAAGAAATGGCGCCAAATACCACTGAAGATCATGCCGCAGGCCCACACATTCACTGCAGCAATGAAACCAGCTCCAAAACCACAGCTGAGTGAGCCCTGGGTGCTGACACCTTATCTCTATATCTAGTTTTATGATCCAAAAAATTGGGACAGTAAAAAATGTTTTTCTTCTTTCCACTTTCAGCTTGGCCCAACCAAAATGTTGAATTTCCATCTACCAATTTTACAACCTTGAAACTTGGAGGTTGTATCAGGGTAGCCATCGAAACTGGAGGTATTCCTGTTCTGCCTGATAAGAAGTATGAGAAACCAGCAAAATAGTCAAGGCAAGAATTTGATATCTTTCACCTTTGGCCTACTTTTGAGACTTTGAGGAGGGAATGGGTTAGGAAATATGCACAGCCCGTAGTCGGGGTCACCCATCCAAAGACACAATAAATATTAACTGTGCTGCTGAAACCAGCCAGGCCTCCAAAGGAGCAAATGAAGCACACGTGGAGCTCTGGCGTCTGAAGTAGGTGAGGCAGGAATGAGCTCCAGTCCCATCCCTCATTGTTCCTACTGGGCCCAGGTCTCCCTTGTCACCTTCTCCTGTGAGCACAGGCCCATCATCTTCAAGAGCTCAGCTCCTATTCTCAGCAGTCACAGAGATTTTTGTTTCTTTCAGACCTGGAGTCTCTGCTTTTTGCTGACTACTCAGAAGTGGGCCTTGGGTTGGAGACCATACTGCATCAAGCGCCAGCACGACCGAATGTGTACCATGTGCATCTCCTTCTTTGTGATCACAGGGGCAAGCTTCTCTGTGCGTTTAAGCAACATCTCAATGCCTCCTTCACCAGTGGATTGAGAGAAAAAATGGGCAGAAATAGTCTCCCCACAGAGAAGCCTTGTTAAGGTACTGCCAGTGTCAGTCACTGCTGTCAAGTCTGCAGTCTCTGGCAGTGAACGTGGTGGGCTGGTTCTTTACAGTGTGGGGGAGCCTAAGGCTCCACTTGGCAGGACCAGAAATCCAAACGGCCTTCAGGGCTGAGTGAGCCAGGCCCTGAGAGCCTAGCCTTGAAGATGCCACTTCCTCCTTTGCACCAAGAGGAAAAGAAGGGTTATGGGCCAGTGTTCATCCACAAGACAGCTAATAGGGAGCTGATGTGCTACTCTGACTCTACTTATACGTCCAGTTTCCTTGTGCAGGTATGCCTGTCACACACACACTGCCACTAGGACACACTGAGATCCACAAAGTAGAGTTAGTCCCCGGTCTGGTGTTGCTCTGAGTCTCACCAGAGTAGACGTGCTGCTGCGAAAATAGAAATGTGGGTGAGGCCCTTGCACAGCCACATAGCTTTCTGCCTCCCAGTGTCTGAACCTATTAACAGGCTTGAACCCAACTAAACTCAGCTTTGTAGCTGGCCTATCTACGGTCTCTTTCCAAAGATGAGGCGGCATCATGAGTTGGGAGCTTTCCCAACATGCCCAAATTCAGATCGCACCACAAACAACTTGCACACCTGACCACAGAGGACTCCATTATTAACCACCACCATCAAACATATACACACTGCACCCTTTACTTAAATAAAGATAGGCCCTGGGTTGATAAGGTCCTAGAAGAATTTCCTGTTACAGATGTGCTGGAAGACCAAGGCACTCTCCTCCCCTGAGTGATCCCACACTTTGAGAACTTCCACGCCAAGAGCGCCCTTCCAAATTCACAGCTCAATCTCAATTGCTCAGTGATGAAAATTTCCTAAAATAAACCTATTTTCTTTTCTTGTTTCTACAGTATGCTTGCCCAACCTAAATGAGTGAATGAGAGTTTCCCAGTCTGGTCTCCAGTCTCAGAAAGCTACGGTGCTTCTCTGATCCCAGGTTGGGTGCAGAGAACTGAAGGGCAAAAAAGAAAGCCTCTAGCTGGGATGTAGAGTGACAATCTCCCTCTCCTTTACAAACCCCTGCAGTTACAACTTCCCCTGAAGTCCTTTCTCTTGCTACAGAATAAGTAGTAGTAGATTAATGATGAACTCACCTCTACTGGGCTGGGGACTGACCAGAAGGCAGGAGTACCCTTTTATTTCAAAGGACAGAGATGGAGACAGACTGCTTCCACTGCCTCCCACTGTTTGCTTCTTTCTCCCTATGACCTGCTCCTGACTTACCTAGACAGGTAAATGCCTCATCTGTGCTGCCTCACCACACCCACCCGCGACTCTCAGCCAATCCCGGCCTCTCCTCCCACTTCTCATTCCAGCTGTTCCTCAGGGAGGGTGTGGGAGGAGGGAGCCCAGGCAGTGCCTCTCTTAGCCAATCATCTCCTGCCCACCCTTCCTCCATTTGGAGCCAATAAAGAGCCCTAAAAAAAAAGACAGAAAGAAAGAAAAGCCACCAGGAGGAGCTGGAGCCAGCTTGAGAGTGGGGGAAAGGAGAGCTGGCAGGGAGGGAATATGTCCAAGATACTGCTACATTTCACCTTAATGTAGAAGAGCACAGTTCACCTGAGCAATGTGCCTATCCGTGGATGTGTTTAAAACGTGGATTCCCACCCAGAGCAGGCTTCTTCCACTTGCAGCTAGGTGTTTCCTTGGCTTCTCCAGGCTGAGTCCTCTGCGGTCAGCCCTTCTGGCTCTTCAGAATCACTTTCATCCCAAACCATTTTCTAGCAGCTTGTAACTCCAGCAAGTCACGCGGCCCACTGAGGAGAGTGTCTTAAAGCTAGGGGCACTGTTGTGGAGCCACCCGCCACACCCCAGTGTTTGCCAACAGTCCTCTTGCACTTGTTTATTTCTGCAGGGAATGACACTTTTTTCCAGAAGTGGTCCTTGTCCTCATGAAAAAATAATCACTGGTCAGCCTGGAAGGAGGGAACTAGAGCTGTCATGTGGGCCTTACATTTTTAGCTGCTCACAGAAGGTGGTGATGAATACAAAATGAAAACAAACTGAGCTGCCAACCCGTTTAGCAACTCCTGTCTCCTTTCCTGAGCAGATTGCTGACCGGAGTAGGGCGCAGAAAGCAGGTAGGTGAGTTCCCTGCTTTCAGGAGGAAGTCTTCTTCAGGTATTGAAGCCACTCTCACAAGATAAGGTTTTTGCCTAGAAGTTGGTTTTTCCTGGATATAAGCTATCTTGAATGCCTACTAACTTTTAAAGTATTTTTCTTTATTGTAGTACCAGGGATTGAACTCAGGAGCTTGCGCTTGGCAGGCAATTGCTTATTCTACTAAGCTATCTCCCCGGCCCTAAAGTATTCTTCTTGGGGCCGGGAAGATGGCTTAGTAGAATAAGTGCTTGCCCGGCAAGTGCAGGGCCCTGAGTTCAAACCCTGGTTCTGCAAAAAAAAAAAAAAAAAAAAAAAAAAAAAAAAAAAAGTATTATTAAAATTAGAAGAGCAGGAAAAAAAAAAGATTGTGTGTGACAATTGCCAAAATTCTTGCATACATGCTAGGCTGTGTGCTAAGCATTTTCATACATCACTTCATTTAATTTTTGTTTTAACTTCAAAAGGTAACTACTATTATTGTGTAAATTTCACAAGGAAGTTAAATAACTTGATCAAGATCATGTGACTGGGAAATTGCAGAGCAAGGATTTTAATTCTAGCAGGAGGACCTCAATGCTGCCATGCACCCATACAGTGCCAGTCTGCCCCTATGTTGGAGGAAATCCCAAGTGAGAAACAGGAGGAATGCAGATAATTTGTAAGTCTAATTGTGAGCATTAAGTCCATCTTTTCCTATTTCATTTCTGACTAGCTATTTGTATATTTTATAGCAGGATGACTCATCGCTTTTCTTTTTTCTCTTTCCTTAATGATTATTGGGTAGGAAGTAAAGTGCAGCGATCCTAGGGCCACAGAGAAGAGGCGTGGCAGCACTAAGAGCAGCGAGGAAGTGGGAGAAAGCCTGGGGTGACTGGTACCCCAGCAGCCCTGGTTGGCAGAGCTGGATGAGCACATCAGGGCCCTGACCTCTCCTCCTGACACGTCACTCAAACGTGTGATGCTATAATACCAACAAAACAGGAAGGACATCTTTAAATGAGTTCAAGGGGACTAGTTACACCCATGGATGGAGTCACTGAAATAAATTCAGCTTTACAGATGTTGCTTGAACATTTGCTTTAAAACAAACAAAAAATTGCTTTGTGAGCATGAACCTCAAAGAGGAAAGTGGACAAAGTCTTGTCTATGAACAGTTTTTCAGTTTATAAAATATTAGGATAGTAGGAGAGGCTCCTGCTTATTCCCACATAGAAGCAGAAAATGACTTTTCCTGTCTTTTTCCTTTCAGATATTTCTTCCTGAACATCATGAAATACTTCAGATGCCGCTGTACCTAACACCCAGCTCAATAAAAAGCAAAAACAAAATGCACTAACATTCCAGCTGAAGTTACAAGCCTTGACTCCTCCCTCCAGCCTTCAAAACACAAATGCTTCCTAGCTGAATAAATCAGCCCCCTAATTTTGGTGTTTCCTATGTTCCGTGACCTTAAATGTTTTCTCTGGAGCTGATCTTCGTTTTGCTTTGCTTTATTTTTTGCTTGGAAAAATGTAAGGTGTCTATGCTTCCAAGAGAAGTGGGAAAGTGGTGTGGGCAACAAGGAGAAGGAGGGCTTCCAAAGTCAGAAACAGCTGAAAGGAGAAAGCTCACTGATGAAGCAGGTCGCTGGGGGGAGGGGGCAGGGGGCGTGTTCTCTGTACTTGAATTCTTGCTTAATGACTTGACTGAAACCTATCTGATCTCAGCTCACAGATGACTCATCTGTTTCCAGACCTCTTGGCCATCCTTGCAGGCGTGTGGGGCAGTCATCTCCTTCGCCAGCCAGGCTGGGTTGCTCTTTCTTCCTCAGCCTGACCTTTCCTGTGAGGCATGCATTTCCTCACCCCAAGTGCTCTGCGTCATCACTGAGATGAACCACAGAACAACAACCTAATCAGTATTTTCTCTCTGGGCTCCCTATGAAGCTGGACTCCATAAAATAGTAGGGGACTTCCACTTATACTTGCATGACGGTCCCATCAGTATCTCCTTTTCCTCTCCAAAGGAAGTATTAAGTCACTTTGCTACTACTGTCCTTAAGACACAGTTAGTGCTCTGACTGTTTATAATGGGGCTAGGGCTCTGCATGTGACCTCTAAAATACTAGGCTCAGGAAGGTCTTACTCAAGTTGAAGCTGAGGAATCAGACCTTGCTTTAGAGAGAACACAACTAGGAAAGGTTCAGATAAAGATAGTTATAATTTAGCTAGAAATCATAGCCTTGATAGGCCAGAGGAAGACATCCAGTAGATCCCCAGATAATCAGCAAAGTCATAGAAGTGTTAAACCAAAAGTAAATGAAATGGGAACTGACAGTGTAATGAAATGGATTTGGATGAAGGAGTTGTGACACTACTTAACCAATAGGTAGTTCTGGAGGTCGATTTTCCTCCTTTCTTTTGGAAGCAGTATATTTTAGTTCAGCTAAGGTGGAAATCTGGAGGATTCCTCCATCCTTTACTTCCCAGTACAAATGGAAATTTGAAGGCTGCTGTCTTTCAGCAGCAGAGTGTTTTGCACAGCACACCACATGTTACATGTCCTCTTCCCAGCCCCATGCCAGCTAATTGCACCACAATAGCTATCCTCCCTGGGCTCAAGCAACCCTTCAATATCGCCTGAGAGGCAGCTCTCATGTGAGTCCTGTTCTTCATTCTCTCTCGTTCAGTACTCCACTGTTTGTAGGATCACAGACCGTGAGAGATGCAATGGACTGCAGCGATCACTTGTCATAATCTTACATTTTGTAGACATACATTTGACTTACCATGGCTTTTCTTGAATGCTTTACTGTGTCTTCAAAGCATTAAAAATGAAGTTCGGGGTCTCTACATGACATAAAAAGACCTTCAAGGGCCGACCAAATAGCTCAGCGGATAAAAGTGCCTGCGAGCAGGCACAGGGCCCAGGGGTTCCCCAGGCCTGCTGTGCCGGCCCTGACCCTGGGGCACACTGAGAAGGCAATTGACACTGGGAGTGGTGGCACAAACCTGTAATCCCAGCTCTTGGGAGGCTGTAAACAGGCAGATCACTATGAGCCAGATCTAGTAGTGAGACCCTGAACACTCTGTAGATCCTTGCCTAAAAAAAAAAAAAAAAAAAAAAAAAAAAAAGGAAAAAGAAAAAGAGACCTTCATAAGTCAGCCTCAGTGCTTCTGTTACTTCTGCATTCAGCCTGTAGCTAGCTAGCCACATCTGATCTGCAGCTGCCGTGCTTTCATCCTGCCGAGAGCCTGCAGCTGTGGTGCCTGGCTTACTCCTTTCTACCTGCTCTCCTGGCGTCATCTTATCCCACTTTCTAGGTTATGCTCAAGTACCACTTTCTTTTGGGGTAGGATAGTTAGTGCTTATCCCTAGACTTTACCTACTAGGACGTAACTGTCCTTTCTCTCCCTGTAAATTTTGAATTCATGAAGGGCTCCAAAATTTTCTGGAGTGTATATAAGTCTTCTAATAGACATACATTGATGCAAAAACTGACAGACCTTTTGACACGTAAAGTCCTTTATTTAAGAGACTTGCTTCTTAAAACTTCATGACCTTTGGATGCTCCAAAAATGCCTCTGTTAATTTTCTGTTGTTACAATGAAATACCCAAAGCTGGGCACATGGAAAGAAGTGGAAAGCCCAAACTATACAAGCAGCTCTAAGTGCCTCAGCCTGGACAAAAGCACGGAGCAGGAAGAGATCATTTTGCCAGACCAGAAGCAAAGAGCAGGGGGAAGGGGAAGGGTCTCCTCATAGGCCTCGCCTTGCAAAGGCCCACTACCTCTTAACATCAACACGTTGCTGATTAACATCCTAACACACAAACCTGCTTGGAGCACACACTCCCATCATACACCACCACAGTAAGACCCATGAGTCTTTTTTTAAAAAAAAATTTATTTAGTACAGGGTCTACAGGGGCCCACTACACAGATTAGACTCATAGTGATCGTCCTGTTTTCAGCCTCCCAAGCACTGGGATTACAGGCACGTACCACCATGCCCAGTCTTAGTCACTGTCTCAGTGCACCCTGGCAGTGGGGCCAGCATGGCAAGCTGGGGCTCAAAGCCCAGTCCCAGCATCTGCCTAAGCAGTCACTTTAGTCACCTGAGCTATCTGTCTGGCTAAGACCCATGAATCTTGA